AGCTTTTTATCAGTTAGAATAGTCACTCATTAAGGAAGATACAAATCAAAAGCTTCATAGATAGAATCGTACTTTTCACTTAACTAAAACAATACTATGTTGTAATACGCTCACTGATAAGTCGAACAGATGTGGCTTTAAACAATCATTAAAGAATAATATTCCTCTTAAATTTCATATCTTATTTAAATAAATTTTAACACATTTAATATGGTATATATTGGACGTAAAAACATTGGATGGAAAAAAGAGTTGTTCCCTTTAGTCTGAAAAATAAACATTTGAATTAGAGGAAAACTTTACGAAAATGATGGTTCCTTCATTATTTGTCTTTTATCCTATTAAATGTAGAACTTTTAGTTATAAAGGTTTTTTTCAGTCTATATCGCTAATTTTACTCTTATTCAACTTTCACATAATAAAGCTTAAGTGCTATTAATGTTGGAAAATTCATTCTAGCTATAATTTGTTTTACCAAAACACACATACATGAATATGTATACATGGATAAGCACATTTACAATTCATTTTTTTCGCCATCTTCTTTAGTACAAAAAATATATTTCCAGTAATAACTATCTGTCATCACCTTCTGTTTCAAACTTTTCCATAGTGTACTTTGATTATTTTTCCATTACCAATTTGTCGTCATTCAGGCAATAATTGGAGAAAAAGAAATTAAGGCAGACAAAGTTGAGTTTCATAATTATTTAAAAGAATAAAATGTCAATTTGTTATTTACGCCATAAATTTGTTGATTTGCGTAGAGAGAAAAAAAGATGATGATCATTTCTTTCATTATCAGAAAGTAAAAATATTGTATTACGTGTTTTCTTCAAAAGAAATTATTATCATGTTACCGGTGAAAAAAAAGCCAAATAGACTAAATTAGTTACCCATAAGGATCAATAGAACTATAAAAAGACTTACTGGAATTATGAATGCAGTATCTTTTTCTGTTGACTTTATTATGTGTAATTAGAATTAAACAAAAATATTATTTGATGGGCTTACTTAGTTCAACCACTTATCAAACATTCGTCCCAATATATTCTTTATATATACATATATAAACAGATTAAGTTGTGAATGAACCATCTGGCTACACCATTTGTTTTTCATGTACATGAGTAAGTCTAATAACAGAGAATACACAGGGTTCGGTTTTTAGCAAACTCTCTACTGATTTGTAAATAAAATAAAACGATTTTTAAATTATAATCTGTCAAAGTAGACGGTTCATTGTTTTTTGTATGACCACCTCAACAAAATTACCTAATTTCTGTTAGCTTATATGAATTTGAAGGATGTTAAAATAATAACAAAAGAAATGAAACAGGATTTAGGTGGAAAAATACAGTAATTATCTAATTTCATACAACTTGACCCCTTGAATATTGAATCAGAGCAAAAACAACAAATCATGTTATTTTTGCTTTGTTTAAAATTATCTAATTGATCAATTAGATATAAGGATCGTCTAGTCACGATTGAGTTACTTCAGTTATGTTAGATTTATCACAGCTGGTTTTTGTCTGATGTCGAGTCAGTTCATTATATGAAGGAGAAATATTGAAGGTCACCATCAGATAATTATCTTTCACCTACTTTTTTTCTCAAGGGAATTCAATGAAACAAATTGCATTACTACTTACGCTTTTTTCCAGTTTTTTTTATTAGTAAATATTGTCATTATATTGTTCTCTGAATATTTGTCATTGTGATATTCTATACGAACAATATATACACTTAAGAGCTAACTCATATAACTGTACATTTATCTATTATCCTCCAACATACGTAATTGACACACATGTACACAACGACACTACCTCCATCAAACTAATTAGTAAATCGATGTATGCAAATATATTATTAGTAGTAAATATCAGAAATAAATTTATCCACAGTGTTACTTTTCATGCCTCCAATACATTTTTTTCTTCTCGGTGTATCGAAATAACAAGTTAAAATGAATGAGCTAACAGAAGAAAAAAAATGACTCACTCTGTCAACGAAAATCTAATTGATAATTTTATTTTATTCACTTTAGTCTAGAATAAATTACTACTTATATTTTTATTGTAAGTAATATAACAAAAGACTTTTGTGTGTATGAAGAAAGTGGACAAAAAAACGAAACAAACATAATAGAATTTAATGATTCAAATTATTTAATAATAAAATTGATTGAATTTTTGACTGAAAAAAAGACAGAAGTGAAATGCATTGATGAGGAATTCTTATTTCTCCTCTTGAAGACAGTACCAAAAAAAAATAACATAAATAAACATCTTTACACTTTAACTATTGAAGTTGATCAAAAATAAATAAGTAAATAAATAAGCAGGATATTCGTAACAAAAAAAGAAAAAAACAAGGAAGCAAATTTATTTGATAATGAGTAGTTTTATTGTATTAACTTCAACTTGAAGTATTCATCATAGATACTTATAACTTTCTTTTTACAATGACCAATATGACTATTTAATATTCTTAGCTGAAATCATAACACATTTCTAAAAATAAAGATTATGAGTGATAAATGTGCTTGAAAGAGAAATTAATTGAATAAGTCTTGTTTCATTTACTTATACAATAACAACTAAGAAATTATATTTGCTTTGTAAGGAAGAATTTAACTCTACAAACATCTTTTAGATGAGAAGATTAATTATCGTTCTATTGTAATATAACTGATGTGAAAAGAATGAAATATAAAATGTGATTTTTTCCTCTCTTTATATTATAGCAAATAAAAATCAACATATCGAATATACGTATGTTTAGTATTTATTGAATTATTCAAAGGGGCTAAAACCAGGTATACCTTAGTGACGAGTACTAACAGATACGAAACCTGGCCACAAGGTTTCCTGTCAACTACTTCTAATCACGCATGTGGTGTCAAGTTATTTAGATTAATGGCTACATTCCGATTGGATCGATAGAATTCAATCAAACTTATAAAGACTAGAGAAACATGATGTTTGTTACTGTTGCATACGGGAAAGACTGGTTATGAGTATAATTTACCACTTGACTTTTCTAGATGAGTGCATATTTTTTATAGACATAAGGTATTTTCCTCTCAGGAATTGATATAAGCTGATGAATCATTGGAAATCATAGAGGCAGAATATCTTTCTGGAAATTCACGGCACTTTCCATTGGTCGTGTCACACAGAACCGATTCTCATGTTTCTATCTGTCAGCTAAGTGATCAAAGCTAATGGAAAGGAATGGTTGATTTAATCATGAATGGCCTCTCATATGACTAAGGTGATTTATTGTATACCACAAAACTTCATCACTAGAAGTCTGTCAATACTGATGATCAGACATCACGAATTTGCTTAATTCCATTGATCAATTAATGCTATTTATAAGTTCCCGAGCAATTCATGTTTATTCACTTAACTAATACATATTTAGTCCAACAATTTACATATTTACAGTAATTTACGAATCCCAGTACTGTAAATATGGAAGCTTTGTAGAACCATTTAATTTCACTGTGATAAGATTATATTATCTAATTTATGCACTTATTACTTCATACTTCATAATGTGCATTTCATTTACTTGTTTTTCCGAAGCTTACCTTTCTACTAATTTTTCATTCCCTTTTATTTTTTACTAATTTATACCATGGTTATCAAATCGATCATAGATTCGAAATACAGAACTTATTTCTTAAGTTTCATGAACTTCAATTTAACCAATTAGGAACAGTGTTGAAGAATACAACCAAATCGTCTTTTAAACTAGTGCAACTGAAGATTATTCTTTTAATTGAATATGCACTGTCGAAGCATTGGCAATTCACTAACTGAAGCAAATTGCTTATACTTTTCAACAATGTAAAATTAACTTTTAATATTGACGTAGATGTGTGTGGAGATTGTTCAGTGAGAAATTAGTATTCTATGGGTTAATATCACCTAGTGAACCGTGAAAATCAAGTGAATATTAGTCAACTTGTTTTATTTTAGTCAAAGTGTACATTGTTGAATATTTTCAAATCAGCATGAAACAACTGTTCATTGATCAGTAATTTTCAATGTTTTCTCTGAAATTCTCACAAACTAGTTCAGTAATTATCAAAAACAGAATATTATAACGAATATTCAGATAGACGTTTGTGCTGATGATGTCGTTCGGAAGAACGATGAAAGCTCCACGACCAAACCATCCAGCTCAGAGAACAAAACTCCATCAAAATCATCCACCTGAGCTACAAATCTTCTCCACCATCTCAGTTTGGAAATGGTCCTGGTTATAAAACTGACTGGAATGAGTTTTAGTTCTTTTGAAAATATCAGATCCAAAAATATTTGAAATATAATTTAATAAAATGTGACATCTAACACAAAACATGAGTCTACAGTTTACTTCTACTTGCCTATATGAGTGCTTGGTGATGCCAAGTTAACTTGATTACACTGTAATTTGACTAGTAAAATTGGATCAGTAATGTGAACTACAGAATAGAACATTGATTACCATGAAGAGATCGCTTAGCGTTTAGCGCTCATCCATAAATCGAAAATCACTCTGAATCAGATGAAGAAAATCGCTAAACAAAGCACGGATCAAAGTGCTCTAGTGCTTTTTTTCTACGTGTTCAAACATTTACCCCACTAACACTTATTAAAAAGACAAAAATTACTTTTGTTTCCAACTCAACATCTAATCACTTAGTTGAAAACCACCAATTACTTGGATGAATCACTTTTTCAGTGTAAAAAACTCTCAACATTGTTTTTCAAAATGTATATATGATAGCTGAAAAAATATTACTCTCTCGTGTTAGATATAAACATTACATCCCATTTGCAATTTAAAAAAAAATTAAAAAATGATTAAAACCAAAAAATTTAATTATTTAAATGCCATTTACATTCATTCATTTGTTCTGCTACATTTATTTTCACATCCATGAGAGATAACGTCAACAACTGTAAATTTATCCATGTTGATTTTTATCTTCATTTCAGCTCATTCAACCAAATCCCAGTTGTCTAGACCAGAGACTAGTAAGTTATGAAAACAATATTTGCATGATATAATCTAAATAATTGATTAGATCTGATTTACACCAAGGAATAAAGTATTATACTGTGTACAATTATTTGGTTTATTTATTTACGTAGCAGAGTTATATGGTTGTGCTAGGTCATACCCTCACTCTTTGAACATCTTTTTTTTCAAACTACAACGATTCTAATTTTCCAGTAGATTACGATGAATATTTCTAATAAATTTCATAAAGAATAACAAGGGGCTTTAGATGTTTGAGTCAATCACCATAAGATCGACTAATATTACTAACCATCTATTTTCAGAAAACATAGTAATAACAATAAGTTCTTGATGATTCTTCAGCAAATTGTGTCTCTAGCATCTGTAATAGCCAGTCATCTAATCAAAAAACTTATTAATTCAGAAGTTACATATTCCTACAGTATTGGTGGGATGTTGCAAAACTTGATAAATATTTCTTCATTACTGTCCTCTACTTAATATATCGGGTGACGAGGTAAAACATTCTGAAAGTGAATACGTCTACGATAAGATTGACAAAGCTGAACAAACCAAAATAGCTCAAGTTTCATCTTAGCTGAAACCTAACTATAATCCAAGTTGATTTTTTGTTTCCCTTATTTGCCTTGTATACCTTTATCTTTTCTTTTAAAGACTAATTTATTTGTTCGTACAGTCGAGAAATCGGCACTGACTTAGTTATTTAGACTATATTTTAGCTGCGAAATTATTATCTATCTTTATACATTGTTATCTAGAACAAAAGTAGAAAAGAAGGATCCCTCGCAAGCCATTCACCGACTGTCGTTGTGATTTATATAAAGATGTATAGACTTGCTATATGGAGTTTCAAAACATCTGAAACTAGGATAATAAGGACATTAAGTGAAATGATTGCAATCTTTCTTTAGATGTGAACATTCAATTACTTCTTACTTAATTGTTTCACGTTCATACGTTTCCCTTGCCTAATATATTTCATTTTTTTATCTTTATTGATCTGTCATTCACATAAATTTCGTAGTTTATGAACCTGGGTGAATGAATTTTTATATTTAACTTAAACGTTGTTATTTTGTTTGAATTCTAAACTTTTTAAAGTTATATTTAAAAGGAGATTAATTGTTATTTTTCAAGTGATAATGGCATAAGTTAAGACTTCATAGACGAAGATAAAGTCAAATAATTATTTTAGAACATAAGATTAAGTGAAAAATGGTTAGATAAAAGCAGTGGGATTGATAACTACCCTTTTTCTCCTCTCTATTGTTTGTTGAAATGATAAGTTACTTAAGATGGATTTAAGTAATATCAATATATAACAGTAGCCTTTTCCAAATTTGTTTGATGTCATATGAATATTATCTTATTATTGTCGTTACATCTAATATTTAAATCTATCATCATAAAGAGGATGACCAAATTGTATGTAATCAATCTAAAGTTTACATTTTATTTACAGTGAGAGTATTGTGGGAAATAAAATACATCAAACCACCTGTTATGTTATTCGTTTAACAAGTTAAAACAACTAGATAAAAAAATTACAAGAAATGTTTTCATGGTAAATTAACTACTAAAAACATACTGAATCAATAATTCAGTTGGAATTTCGGCTTCCCATGTTAAACAGTCTTTAACTGAATGGAAAACTGATTATCTAAACACAATGAGACGCTCACGTTTTCAGATAGCGAGTGGATTGAGAGTATATATACATCGGTCGTGAGACATTTGGTATTTTGATGATTACATATCATTACAACTTGAACACACTGAATGCATTTTAGCAACAATTATTTAAGAAGGCTTTAGAATGAATGGATTCAAGAAACAGTTAACTTCAATTTTTAGCGAAATTCGAATATGATAACTAAGTTATGCTTTCTATTCTTTTAAAAACTTATGTCAATTGTTTCTATATTATTTCCCTTTGTTTCTTTCACATCTACAAATTTCAAGAATTTCAATTTATCTGACGGAATTTTTAAATGACTAATAAGATAATTGCACTAATTGGTGGTCACGTCAGTAGAATGTTTTCGTTTCTCATGATTAAATTTTTGAAATGGATCTCTAATTATAGGTATAATACATTCGAAACTGCTTACACCGACAGAAACCTCAACAAATCTCCATCAAAATTTATAAAAATATGAGTCTGATTATTAATCAGTAAATCACACACATATCCAACTTGAAATATTGTCCTCTAGTGATTAACTATGTAGGTCTCACATTAACTTAAACACATTTGATACATCATTCTAATTTGAAAGTTTCTTCCTCCAAACTATCTTACACCAGCTTCTGTAAAATATCGTGTTCGTTTTAAATCAAACGATCTGAATTATTTTTATTAGTTTCTGAAAGTAAAAAGAGAACCATATTAATCATTTGAGTAAGGCATACGTCAATAAGCTAATAAAGTAGAGAGAAATAAAAACATTCTATCAACGCAACTTCATTGGAGTGCATGCACACTATTAAAAAAATAAATAAATGAAACATTATGTTTAAAAGTTGCTGGAAATTCTGTCGGATGATGTGAAACTTGTGAAATCTGAAGGAAAAAACCAAACGAAAACGGAAATAGTTTTTTTTTAATTCAACGAAATAAATTTACATTATCATTGAATTACTAATTCATTTTTGAGTCAACATTCAAGGTGTTTTTCAACACAATTTCTCTCTTTTTATCAAAAAAAACCTCATTTAGATATCAATTGTCCTCCATGTGAGAGAAGTAAGAAAAGAATAAGATTTAAGAAGTTTTGTCGTTGTGAAGCTGGTAAGTTTAATTGTTGTTTTTATGATCATTATTATTAATCTTTTCTTATGTTCCAATGCATAGAATGTTTACCTTGGTATATATTCTTTACTAGGAGACAATCTTAATCTGAGTCACGCTAACAATAGATAAATGAATATGACTTTTTATGTTTGACCTTGAACACAAATTGATCAAATGATTTATTGACTTCTATAATCGACAAAAGTAACTGACTATTCTCTCATAAAATCTGCATTGATTAAATGAGAATTATTTACAGATAACTTCAGTACAAATTACTACGGTTGAAAAACCGACAAATTTAAAAAGTAATCGATGTGCAGAGATTTGCTTCAGGACCCCCGGGCTGTTTGATGATTACATTAAATTGTGTATCTTTATGCAATTTCAAGAACGTCTTCGTAAATTGGTTATCTTTAAATTTGTTCAATGTTCTGTCTTCTTTTTGTAGAAGTTATTATCATCCTTAAGGGACTAGTCGGCAGAAAACCAGGATGATTCGTTTTGATCTAAAAAAACCTGCAACTCCGAGTCTAAAAAGCCAATAAAAACTTCATGATTAAAACATCCATCTCAAAAAAATGTAATACTTTCAAAATCCTCCTCTTGATTTAAAAATCTTCCCCATCGTATTTATGTCTATAAAAATGATTAAAAGGTTAAGGAAACTATCGGTAAGATCATCAAAATTTTACCTCTAGTCCACCTCCAATATATTTATTCTAGAACTGAGATGATGTATTCCCAAGCTATTCCTCACTAGATAGCTGGCTGGATGATATGAAACTATGGCATAAATCCTAGCAATTTTCACAGTCGGTGATACATCGATGACATAAAATTTTGTCTAGATAACGCACTAAATGGGATCTGGTTCGAACATAATTAATATTTCTAATCACCATCCATCATCCTTTAACTCGAATTAATAATATTAAATCGTAAACCTACTTTCCTTCTAGAAATCGTTCAAACCAATCGAATGCTTCTAAATGAATTTCTTACAAAATATAATCAAAAATCTAGGTAAAACACATTGATTAGACCACTGCATGACCTTGTCCTTTCATCTCTGACCGTTAGTCTTATAAAAAGCGATACTTAAAATTTGTTATTTTATTCGACCCAAATAGTAGATTCATAGAAATTTCCAAACTGATGAAAACCCTGATGTTGATCATTGTACTACGGAAATAGGTACTTTTATGATAGAATAAGTATTGTATGCGGATCACCACTGTTATAACTGGAAAGCTGGCTCCGTCGGGGCTGGTATAAGTGAGTAGCCAGCTGTTACGTATCAAACCTGTTGAGTTCACAGTCTTAATGTTTTTACTTGACAATCGAAAACCACTGTTATTCATCGATTCCACTATTTATGTTGGGAACGGGGAACCACTATAATTACCACGATGCAGTGATAACATGGTAGACTAGTGCAGTCAACATTTATTGACTCCCCAAATACAGGCCTAATAACAAGCCCTAAAATTACACCATCTTTAGACCGTAATACAATCGCCTATATACCAAATTTAACGTACTTTATAATGACATATATAGGGAGAAAATACATAGGGTTCCGGCAAAAAATATATATGCTTGTTATGGAAATATACATGCCTCCAATCCTTTCATATAGTTATCGACTTAACTCGCGTTAGTGAATAAACGGAATTAAATAAGCCAAATAAGAGAACGAAGTTTGAATGCGTATATTTTATACAATCGTTGATCTGAACAGACAGTCAGAAAGACGGAGCAAAAGAAGCGAAGAAGAGGGAGGGAAGCGATACTAAATGACCAACAGTGAAGAATGTTAGTGAGCTGACTTAATTTAGCCAACCGTGAATCGTTATTTATAGTCGAACAAATATAAGTTACAGACACATGATGAGTAAGGTAAGTAATTAGCACACATGCGATTATATAAAAAACGGTTAGGATTATTAAGCGAATAATTGACAGGTTCAACATATGACTCAAGAAGAATGGATAAACTGGTCAGTCTGGAACCTAGAATAACCCATATGGGCTTGACATAGAACTAGGTATTACAGTCAGATATGTATTCTGAATGTATTGAATATTAGTTACAAGAATTTAGTAAGCTGAATTGAGTCTGTCTATAAAATTTAGAAAGCATGTTTTGCTCTATTTCGAGCTCCTTACTTGAGTGTGTCTCCATCTCAATGTTGATGTTCACACTTAGGCTCCAATGCTTAAACTAATAAGCTGATGAGCCTACATAGCTGATAGATTATTTAACAGGTATGAAGTTATGTTTCAGGGTATTTTCCTGAATAGGAAAAATTCGTGTCCTAGATCCCTCTGCCACTCAAAAGCTAGTCTTATGATAAGATGATTAATAACAAAAGTGAAGTTAATATGTGTCATTTGGCACCAAGCCATATAGGTTTCCAATTTTTAAAATATTAGTAAAACCAATTATTTGTGAGCTAATAACTCTATTTAAATCTTGGTAGATGAGGTAGGCATAATACTCAAGACAAAATAATCCTTCAACTATTCAGTCATAAATCTATTATATAAGATCTGAAGTTACGTCCTATGGTTATCAGTTGGTAAATGATTGCAAATAATATATTGTAAGTTTTATTTCAAAAATGAACACTCTAGAAAATTGACCTACACACGAATAAACAATAAGGAAGAAAATAGATGCTATTATTGATGCAAAAATGTTTTATTACAACTTATACAATATGTGATTATCTTCAGTGATTATTTGATTTCTTCATAGTAAGAAAATCGATTTAAGTATCTAAGGTGTCTCTAACCGTAATAGATTTTAATGAATGTACTTATAATAATTTATATAAAACTAAACAATTATCATCAGTGTTTTTTTACAATTGTTTTTATAGACCTATTAATACAGATTCACTTGGTGTTGTTTTACTAGTATCTTCTCATCGTTATTTAGGACTGCAATTGATCAGTCTGTGGTGGTCGGTATTCGATATATTCCTTAAACTTCGTATACAGTTCGTCTTGGTAACCATCACTAAATGACGCTCCAACGGTATATTAATCAGAAGGCGAATACGAAGTGTTGATTACGTTTATTATGGGACCACACACAGATGTCCTAAGTTACAAGCGCGTTAAACTAGCATCAAAGAGTTGTATCGAAAAGCAAACAGGCAAGCGAGAGAGAGAGAGCAATGAATATGAATAACATGGATATATGTATATATATATGAATCATCGAATCAGTTAAACGGTTAATAGTAAGGCTAATAGCGTGAATAAATGCGTAGGCTGTAAGGAATGCTCAAGCATACATGTTCATACATTCGCAACAAAAATAAAGATACAATGATATAGATAGGTTGTTGTACGAATGACTCAGTTCGTTAATTAGTTAATAAAATGACTTAACCGAATTAAATGTGAACAAACTCAATCGCACGTGAACTGTTATAAGTCTCTTGTGGGCATTGTGCATCCTGTGCGGATTGCCTCGATATAGCCTTAAGTCATAAGCTTTTTAAGCTAAGATGGATAGTGGCTAACAGTGGATTCCGGGACGCGCGTTTCGTCCTATTTGGGACTCGTCGACTGGATGTACCTGAATCTCAGAGTTGATGTTCACTCGAGGACTCGAATCCAGTACCGTTCGCTCCATCTCAATTGCACAAGCAAGTTGCCATAAGGACTCAGTAGCTGAGTGGATAACGCGATTGCGTTTGAAGTGAACGGTACTGGTTCGAGTCCCAGTGTGGACATCAACTCTGATATGAAGGTACATCCAGTCGACGAGTCCCAAATAGGACGAAGCGCGCGTCCCGGAATCTACTGCTAACCACTATCCATCTTTGCTATTAACATAGAATTCAAATTTTTCCAATTAGCAGATTTATTAACTTAATTTTTTTTAAGAAATCTATTGGACCATCTGAATATGATGACGTTATTATGATTGTGACATGTTCACATGTATTTCAAGTAGTAAACAACAAAATGAAATGTTTCTTTTTTTGTGAAACACACACACAAACTAAAATTATGCATATTTACATTATTTGTTCGTTATTTTATATTAACCGATTCAAATTTCGATGGAAAACATAAAATTAAGTGGTTTATTTTCAGATAGAATTCTTGATATGATTCCTTAAAATACGGAAAAAAAAACACATAAGAGGATAGTCAAAAATCTGGTTAACAAATAAACTGATATAATTTCCTTAACAAAACACTAGACAATCTTAATCCTCATTTTTTGAAATATTTCTGTCTTTAAGATGTTATATGAATAGGTAGCATGTGGTAGCAATGAATGAAATATACTTTGCACTGTAATTAACAAGTGTACATGATAATGACAAAGAATCTGGTAAGAAAGTTATAAGTTTCTATCACAATAAATCAATGAAAAGTGTAGTACGCATGTATGTGAATCAACCAAATGTATGATTATATATATATGCAAATATCAGATCAATAAATTTATTCACATTACTTAACAAGATGAGGTTTTCTAAAATACAAACAATTGATTATTATGTAGTCTATGATCGAACTTCGATATTTTGAAAGTCATTATTCATTCAGCTATCGATTTATCATTCTTAGTATCATTCCTTTTAAAAAATAATATGAATGACACTGTTAATTCACGAATCAAACTAACTTAGTGGTAGTACCAATGTATAAAACACGGAATCAATAAATATGAATCTTGGAGAATCAAACCACCCGTCAATGATTTGTGTCCTGTAAGATTAATTTTGGACAAGATCCAGGGATTGTTATTTATTAGGGCTAATCTAACATACTCTAAATGAGATATATAATGATATGAAATCACTGGATTTAGTAAACACATAAAATTGAATGAACTAAATCTCTGGGGGGACTTGGTAGTATAATATTGATAATTGTTTAGTGTTTAATTAAGGAGAATATAGTTCGCTGAAAATTCAGATAAATTTTGTACATGAATGCCGAAATTATATGGAACCTATTTTTCAAGCCATTTTATGGTTTATCTGAGTCAGTTTACTGTTGAATACTGCGTCATGTGATAATGAGTTAAACACCTATTGACCTACTTTTGTCTCTTAATTGATGAACACTGGAAAAAACTACATCATGATATCGATTAACTTTCAGCAAGCAAAAATCGACAACTAATGTTAGTTTATACACAGATACATCTGTCACAGTATTGTTGTTGTAATTCAAACCTACATTTTGATTAATCTAAACGAAACACTCTGTGTTCTTGATCATTACGTTTTATTATCAAGAAGAGTAACTAGAATAAGTGGTAGTAACAATAAAACATTAATTTAAGCCAGACTACATAATATTTTCTTCATATTACTAATTAATCTGAATAATTTAAGTTCTTATTCAACTAAATTGACAGAGTCAAAAATGTTTGTAAGAAAAAGAATATCATAACCTATGACTTTCTGTATAAACTAGTACTAAATCATAGATTGATTAAGCTTATCTACCCAGTTGACTCATCCCTCCCAGATTATATTAATGCCTTAAGAATCGTATATAACAAAGTATCGATCTGTAGAGTAAACCTTATTTAAGGTATTTTTGGTTGATTCATAAGTTCAGTTACGAAATTTTATATTAGTTGTTGTTTATTTATATCAGTGGATAGTATTTGTAGGCAATCGAATCGACACTTGTGTGAGTGATGTAATGGAGAGCGGTTCTCCAGCCTTTACATTCTCTGTCGTTTGATAGGAGAATTATTATTCAAACAAAATCATTTAGACGAAGAAATTTACCTTTTTATCCACTTCTGATTAATTTCAATGAACTTGAATTATGAAGAAACGTAAAAACACAGAATTCCACCTATAGTCACTTATAATACTCTGTAATTATACCATAATCAAGATGTAGTTTTCAGTCAAGTCATATGGTATCGTTTACTTAGTATTCAATAACTTGTCTAAAGGTTGACTCCATATTCATCATTGGTAAAGTGGTTAAACAACCAATGAAAGGAGCGTCATATATCAACAATATGAAGTACATAGCTATTAATACCTTGATCTACGTAAGCAGCTGTTTCCATGAACAATTTCTGCTATCAGATACATTAATAATAACAAGATTTTTGTGTAATTTTCCTCTGACTGAAGAAAAGTTAGCTCTTTTCTTATTTATATCAAAAAAGAAAAATTTAGGGTACTTTATCTGAATTTACTAAATAAGCGATTAATTGTTAAAATTACTTTTGCATTTTGCTAAGAAAAATAAACCTGACGTTGTCTCAAAATTTAGTGTTTTAGCAATAATGACAACATAATTATGTTGAGCTGAAATTGTAAATTGTTGTTCTTCTATTGAACTTTTTATAATTTTATAAAACCATTTTATGCTAAACAGCTTCATCGGAGAGATCAACCTTTACAATTTCCATTGAATTCATATCATCAATAAAATTTTATCCTTTAGAATTTTTATCAATTATAATTCATAAAGAAGAGGCTTAATAAGTCGTTCTTATCACATAATAGATGAGAAAGATTCTTATTCTCTCTCCTTTCATTTCAAAGGAGGATCTGTCAGTAGTTTTCAGCTTGTTAAGCAAGTGAATTTAAGGCATTTTTGTTTAGGTGAAATCAAGTGAACTTTAAATAATCATGCATTTAAATTAACTTTCAGAATTTGAATTTAGTGGGATAACATTGAAGTTGTTATATTTTTCTTGACTAGTTCAGCAATCTAGTAGAGTTTTTAACAAATAACTCAATAAAATTTATTTCACATTTATTCAGCAACATTATAATTAACCTTAAATAGGTTTTTACATTTAAATTAAAATGAAGAGCGAAATGAGTTTCAAACAAAAACTTTCTCAGTTGAACAACTGAAAGAAACTATAAAATGATTCAAATTGAAATGGTTTGGATTATCTCGTGGTTAAGAATTTGCTCTGAAATATGATCAGTCTCGGTTGACATATGTGCATCGTGTGTGGATTGTCTCGAAATAGTCATTATGATACAGGTTAATATAGAATGTGGTTAGCAATGGAATGGAAGACGTGGGTTTCTTCCTACTTGGGACTCGTCAGTTGAATGTACCTGCATCCCAAAACTGATGTTCATTCTAGGACAATAATCCACTACCATACGCTTCAAAATCCTTCGCGTTATTCACTTAGCCACGGCGTGATAGTTTAAAAATCAATCAATTCATGACTTTAGCCAACTCATTCCCTAGTTTTATATGTTTTATTATTTTCATAAAATATTGAGGGAATTTAAGAATTTTTAATTTGCCTCTACAGCTTCCAAGTATTTGTTGTCAGAAAGTTTATTGAAGATACAAATAACAACTAACATATTCAAGTCTGTTGGTTGGAAAACTATTGCCAGTAAAAGAAATCACTAAAAGATTAACCAGACAGCAATGAAATATGATCATAAATGCCGGCGTATTTAGAACAAATAATCTATTGATAATTAAAATTAGCCAAAATGATACTTTATTATAGAATGAAGTGGTCTATAATATGAGGTTTGTTTTCCTTGTAATTAAGCAGTTTTATTCAAATCATGAGAAATAACAAGTTCTATAGTGAACGTTTTGCATTATTAATGAGTAAGCTATAATATATCACATTAATAAAATTATTTTTTCCATAGTTTTTCGTGGCATAGTCAAATCACGAACAATTCATGGAGATTTAATGCGTCTTGAAGTTGGCATTCAAAACACATGGCGTATTACTGGAGCAGCTGAACACTTATTACCTAAAACAGCATCGTCAAATCTACCAGCCTATCGAGTTTGGTTACGCATAAAAAAAAACCCAGCAGATAAACTTCATTCACAATGTCTATGTCCAAACCTTCAAGTTGGTCAATCATATTTGTTCATAACACGTTCGCATCAGGTATTATGAAATAATTTTAATGATGATTTGTGTTCATGGAGAATTATTTTGTACATGAAAGAACTATTATATAAGTTTATATTGAAAGAATTATATTTAAAACACAGTTAAGAAGAACAACATATGCTTACAGTGAGATAATCGTATATCAGTCAAGTAGTGTTGATTATTTATTACTTCGATTAACTAAGAATTAAACTTTTTTTTTTTATTATTTGCTCACTAAGTTAGGTTTAATTTCGTCGGCTAGAAGATCCAGATATCACTTGAACTACTAACCATCATTCTTTAACTGACTAAAATTTATTCTTTTTCGTCATAACCTCTCTCTAATAATAAGTTTCGAAATTTTCTTTATATTATCTTCAATACAACCTTTCTATTATACAATTTCTCTGTAATTGTTAACAAGTCACTAAGACCAATTATGATTCAGAGGCATCAGTAGAATTATCTCAGTTTAACTACTTATTATTAATGTTTGCAGAATGAGCTGTTTTAAGAAAGTTAATATTAAAGACAATTTATAAAGGTATTATGTTATGTGATATTGTAGTGGCTTGGCTTCGAGATTATTTCATATGTTTCGTTTACAAAACACCTTGATAACCGTATTCATATAAATCCCAATGGTGTAAGAGTTCAGAATTTCTCCACATAAAACTAACAGCTTCTTTTGTTAACAATAAATCCAATTAGTTGTTATCAAACAATACTTGTCTTGTTATTGTCTGGACCTTATTTTGATTGACTTCCCTCTTGACTAGGCTCTTGACCTTACGGTTGTTTACAATTTTTCTAATCGGTTGATAAACATGACCTATTTCGGTTTGAAGATGAAATTTATTGTTGACAAAACATACTGTTAGTTCTATTTTATATTTATGCTGATGATATTGTCTAAAAATACAATAAGAGTTTCACAATTATATCACCCAGCTTAAATAATAAAACTTCATCAAAAAACTTTACATGTTCTTTATAGTTAATTTTCATCTATTAAAACAAATGGATAGTGTATCATAAGTTTTAATTATTAACTTAAGTAGCTATTGTGGAACTAATAGTTTGATAGATTTCAGTTAATTCTGCCAACTGAACAACAATTAACGTTAACTGGAGAAAAGCCTATTTATAATTTATATACACAAGTGTATTGCTCCAAGTACTCAGTCTCATGTCTTCTATAGGATAAATCATACACAATTATTATGGTTAATGTGACTTAATTAATATTTACTTCTTTGATATAAGCATTTAATGAGTGTAATCATCTTATCTATCTTGCCATTATTTTAAAAACTGGACATTCGAATCTAAATTCATCCTTAAAACTTGTTCTCATTTCTTAAAAAGTATATCATACTTAAAAATCAAAAAAATTTACACCAAAGTTGTTTTTTCCTCTTGATTTACACTATTTGTTTCTTTTAATATCTAAAATAAATTCAAATGAAAATATTTCAATAAATTTTAATTAAATTTGATCAAGATTTTACATTTTAAAATTCGAATATTTCACATAACCTGTGTTTGTATTATTTCCGAGTTTGAAATTAAAGTACAGAGGTTAAACGTTCGCGCGCGAGACCGATAGGTCGTGGGTTCGAGTTTCGAGAGGCGGGATCGTGGTTATGCATTGCTGAGGAGTTCCACAATAGGACAAAACAGCCGTTCCAAGTTTTCAATGGTGGTCTAGCTTTGACCGACTCATGATCTCAACTAATTAAATTAAAATATTTGTTAATTTTCGAACAAACCGGAAATCTAGTAGGTACTCTATTATATTTGTTTAATTGATGAACAATAGTCAACTAATTACCATATTACAAAGATTATTGAATTTATTTTGTTTATTTCGAAATCTACCAAAAATTTTTTTACTGTTATGAGTAACAAGTAGCCTAACTGAGTACACGCGTCTAGTAGTTAATCATGAAAATGATCACTTTTCTGTGTTAAAGAACAGTTTGTTAGTCAGTAAATGTTGGACGAAACTAGATGATCTACTCTAACTTATGAGTAATCTCTTTATTGTATGAGGCTTTACTGTAATATGAATCTGTCTAAACTATAAACTTATGAGTCTTTGACAATTAACCAAGTAGTCATTTCGACTAGTCATAGCTCTTTAAGGAGCTATGCTTGAACACACAATTAGTTGTTATTTCAATAACGACAGAAGTGTTTAAATTTTCAGCTGACTGATGTAATAATCATGTACATCAGGTGACTTAATTGAACATATAGTTATATAGTCATTACTCAATTGAATCCACACGATATCTGTCAATAAACATCTTTCTTGGATAATTTAAAAGCAAAATATGTACAATAAACTTTTCTTACAAAAATTTTTGAAAAGCTAACAATAAAACACATCCACCTAACGAATAACAATATCAAGGCGAAAATAAACAAATTAGTTTCAAAAATTCCAAACAAATAATATAGCATAGATGGCTTATCAATTAAACTTGATAGATTATTAAAGGTAAGAGATGCAACATTCAAGTTTCGTGGGGCGATATTAAAATTTATGGACGAACCGATCAGATTTAGGATAACAGGTCTTGGATTTTAGCCGGAACTTCATTCACTCATTTGTCTAAATAGCGTTTTAGCATTTTAGCTGACTAACTATAAATCTAATTCTTAACTCTAACCATTAATTGTAAATCATAATCCTTATAATACTCATTTAGTCCTAATTATTAGGTGGACAATCTCAAGGTCACTTTAGAATCTCTCAAAAGTCGTCTATAAACTATAGTCTCACCTTTCGTAGTAGTAGAAAGGTGTAGCACTTATTTGAGAAAACTGATCCTCTTTGTGGGATCGAAACTCGAGTCATTCAGTATTACAGTTAAAGACATTACCAGCGACTAAATTCCTGACAAGTTAAGAACACTATAAAACGATAGACAGATCTTTATCAGTACTAAGGAATTAACGGATAATCTAAATTGCTAATCCGTGATCAATCAATGTACTCAAATCCTTACTTGATAAGTAAAAAGCAACAAATAAAATATTGTTTCAATAGTTGAGTTCATGAGTTAATTAAAGCTAGACCACCATGGAAAACCTGGAAGCACTGGAAGGCTGTTTCGTCTTAATGTGGAACTCCTCAGCACTGCGCATCTACGACCCCACCATTCGGGATTCGAACCCAGGACGTATCAGTCTCGCGCGCGAGCGTTTAACCATTAGACCACTGAGCTGGCATCCAACGGCCGTCCAGTGCTTCTAGGTCTTCCATTGTGGTCTAGCTCCAATTGACTCATGATCTCAACTATTGAAATTAATACAATCTTCACAAAACCTTTTCTGATACTAAATAAAATATAGCAAAAACATTTTCATGGTGCAATCATTCAGGTTTATTTCTGAATGATAGAGCTATAAATGGTAAATAAACAGATAAAGAAATTATTATTTTGATATTCTGATAATACCAACTGTTGTTGAAATTTTCGATATTCATTTCATTTGATTTTTCAATTTAGAAAATAATTTCAAATTTCATTGAACTTAATATTGTTAACTATACCAATTTAAATTTTCAAGGCAATAATCATTAATTCATACTTTATAACAATATTTAATTGGTCATTAAATACAGTGAGGACCTTTTGAATAAATAATAATAATAATAATAATAATAATAATAATAATAAAGAAACACTTATTACTGTAAATTTATCCAGTAATAGTTCGGTTTTATATTGCTATCGATTGCACTACAAAAAAAGTGTTTTGATGATGATCAATTATGCACATTTACCAATAAAATTTGATTATTCCAAATCAATAAAACAATAGAAATGATAAATATATCAAACTTCATTTGTAATTTAAATTCCCATACACGCTTTTTGATCAGAATAAATAGGATATTGTAGAAGTGAGAGGTTTTATCAATGGTATATATTAGCATACGTGACTGAATATCATAAATCAATGGCTAAACAAAAGTTTAAACAATTTGTCAAGTGAAAATTCTTACCCTACTCTTGGACTGATTAGGACACAAACAGAATTTAGTATATGGATATTTCTGAGATCAGATAAAACTTGTCTAGATTAACTAAAGATGCGCTTTGTTTAATATTCTATACTATAAAATATCTAATTCAGTTGGTCAGTTTGGAAGATACTCATTCTTGTAGGAAATGAGATTAGAAATTAAATCATAAAGTACTTATTATCTATGTTTAGGTTTAAAAAATGATTCCATGAAATTGATAACACTAAAGAGCCATTCTGTTGAATTACAAATAAATATAATATTACTCACTTATCAGGTCAAGGTTTATGTACTCGGCTTTCAGTCACACTGTTTATATGAGGCCTAGTGATGTTACTTGACTGCTCAAAATAAAGTAGGTATTTTGGGGTTTGACAAGGCAACATAACTAAGCTTAAATCTGAACCGATTCCTTTAACACTAAAGTTATTGCAGATAAAAAATGAAGCACAAAAATTATATATTTATCATGTCGTTGCTGATTGTTCTGAATTAGAATAATTCATTTAGAACATAATTTTAAATATTATAAATATTTATTAACTGATTAGATAATCAGAGTAACACAAGTTAATGTTTAGTATTTATTCAGAAATACTAGGTGTTGTCTACATTATTCAGCAAATACAAATCGATACATGACAGTAGTATTCAGTATCATCATATTTTAAACTTTTGTGGTATAAAATCAACAGTAACTGAATTCATTATTGATATCAGATCTACTTCTAATTTGATTAAATTCCACCAGTCACATCTTTTCTTTAGAACTTCACAAACCCATCTTGAAGTGAGTCAATGATGAAGACTTAGCTGAAACAGTCTTTTAAAAAAAACTCATCTAAGAAAACTATTTCACCTGTTTCTGTGTTATTATTTGACTTAAATGTTTTACTCTGAATAATTCATTTATTCCATTTGGATAGTTTGAAAGTAAATACCTGATGAACGTGGTGTTAAAGACAATATTCTAAGGGCATATTATTTTAGTTTACTTAACAAATGATCTAACTATCGTACGACAACGTTATTCTAACGACAAATTTATTTGACAAAAATAGTACTCATCTATTCCTGTTAGCTTCACTGCTGTAAATTAGATGGCAATACTTTGTTTTTAAATTTCAATTTGCTATACTTCCAAATGTAGTCGATTTATGATGTAGTTCAGCTATCGTCTATTGTTGTCGGTGATAACTGTTTCACTATCGGGCATGGTTCGACTGCCCTCACGAGTTGCAATTTCTCAAAAAAACTTCAAGAATTTATTTCAAAGTCACTCACTAGTGAACACGTAATTACGATTTGGTTGAGTGGTTTGTCTAGGGTGATCTTACCTTAGTTGCTTTCATTTGGTGAAGCAAAATATTCTCAGTGTTCTAATCTTTACATACTACTTAGCTAAAGAATTTCATTTCTTTTTCAAAGTTCAAATATTTTAAGACAAATAAGCGTACCTGCCAAATAGAATTTCAAAATAAATGAGGTCGAATTCATAGAACATAGTTAAAAAGAACGCGTGTGTTTCTAACTCTAAACAATTGTTTGGTAAGTGTTTAAATTCAGTTTCATTTACGTCTATTTATTGATACTAGACTACACAAACCTACGAATACTAATTATACGATATAGATAGTGTATCAAGTGTAAATGTCAAGGTTATAACCCACATTTTCATAAGCACAAAAGTAAAACTAACAACATAGATATATGAAGCAGTAAAATATATGAGTCATTTGTTTAAAATCAACTGAATTTCGTTTAAAATCTGCTGTACAACTGTGATTTTACCGATATATATTTTTAATTTACTACACAGGTCCCATATGACGATCGAATGGAGTTGTTACTTGATACACATAGTGTAGTATTAAAATGGAGGGAATCATGGAGGAGACGATTGTCAAAATTTGTACGTCGTGCTGCACGTGAATCATGTGATAGTGAGAAAAATTCAGTTGTTGTTGATGACGATAATATTGATGACAGTAATAATGATAAATTACAAAGAACTCGTCAAGTACAACGGTTGCGTCTAGGTTCTGATTACTATTCGTCAAACAACCAAGTGAATCAACATAATCGAATACAATCCCTCACTTCACCTTCAACATTATCATCGAATTACCAGTTGAATAGGTTAAGGTCATCTACAAAACTGTCATCTAAAAAATTAAAAAAACAAATCAGTCAATCATCCATCATTTCCGACCCACATAGTTCTAAAGAGGTTAGTTTAAATTACCCACATGATAAGGATAAATTTCAATATATAACCAATAAAAATATGTATTCATCATTTTATTCAAATCAATAAATTCAGGTCAAAATCTAATTATAAGAAATGAAATACTATATCATGGAAACAATGTTAAATAGTAAAATTTAGTTAACAATATCGATGTACAGTATTGCTGTTTTGAATATATAATTCCCCCCACCCTCCAAAAAAGAAGAAAAACATCAAATGAATTGAACTATCAAAGGATGAGCTTTTTTTAACAAAAAACAAACAAACAATTTCAACCATATTTATTGATTAAAAGGGAAAAGAAAAAAAGCAATCCATTTATGAATCAGGAATAACCAATAGGCACAAAAATTAAATAAATAAATGAATACTTGTTATATAACCTTTAAATAGTTACTTGTCATTTATTGATATTTTCTCATTTTGAAAATAAGTTAATAATAATTATGTACTTGTGTTTTTATACACAGTTACTATTTCATAATTCAATTAATTATTTGTTCTATTATCTATCAAAAATCTATCATTATCATTCATAAAATTCATTAATTTACCATATAATCAATATTATTTACTATTAATATAGTTAAAATTCTTTAAATTATTAACTATATGATAATTCAATGTGTTCATTATACAATAAAATTTCAAATGAATATTCATTATTGAATTTATATAATGTAAGTTTCAAGAAAGATAATTAATGTTAATCATTACATTTATGTCTAATAAATTTCTACCTCATATTCTATTTCATTGTTCTTATCACCCTTTTTCGTTCTTCCTATATATATATATATATATATATATATATATATATATATATATATATATATATATATATATATATATATATATATATATATATATATTCTTTATTGGTTTTAATTATTTAACAGAATTATTAATTAAAACAATATATTACATTGATTATTGATTTAAAAAAGTGTATTAAAGGATTTGTGTTTATGTTTAATTATCTATCTATATGTTGTTTTGCTTCAACATATACTTTCCTTTAAAAAAAACAATCATTTTCATAATGAAATTATATTCTAATGAAATATATTATATTCTGCTTACCATTTTACATTTTCTAATTGAAAATAATTTCTCAATTGAATCATTGTTGGGAATAAAACCTTCAATAAAAGAAATTCATAGTAATATCTTTAAAAAACAAGCTTACTATATATATATACATAAACAGTAAGTCCTATTAAGTTGACAGTGAATTTGTGATTAAATTTAGTTTGAAATACATTGTCAACACGATCTATTTGCTAAACAAAATTACAATAGTTGAGATCATAAGTCGATTGAATCTAGACCACCATGAAAGACCTGGAAGCACTGGGCGGCCGTTTCGTCTTACTGTGGGAATTCTGAGCAGTGCGCATCCACGATCCCGCCTCCCGCAAGATTCGAATCCAGGACCTATCAGTATCGCACACGAGCGCCTAACCATTAGACCAATGAGCCGGCCGGCATCCAACGATGTTAATGTCTAACTTCAACTAATTCAAGAAATTGAGCTACATATCCACCATTGTTATCAGTTAGTTATTATTTCACAACTGACTCGACTGAACTCCACTGGTCACTGCTTCTCACTAGAACTGCAGGATATACATCTAGTGAGCATATGTTGATTAGTATCAGACTGAGTTTCGTGGAGATTGTAGTAATGTCAATAGTTGAAATTACTATAAGTTTTCAATAATATTAATGAATGCATTAATTTTTTATAACTTGTGTCCTATTAATATATAACGCAATGATACCACCAATTAGAGAACAGTGATTTATCAACCGCACCAATGACACATAAAGCCTGTACAAGCAGTCTAGTCTTTATCGGTCTTTCTTCCAGCATAACCATGGCTGTCAAGTCCAGAACGCCAATCTCAGCCTCTGCGATATAAATCATGTATTTCAAACATACTGGGTTTATATACAAACCAAACAGACAACACCGTACAATAAAATAGAAAATAACATTTGTACAAGATCAATAGACTGGGCAGAACTCAAGAATGGTAAATCGTATAATAATAGTCTATGGGTCAAAATAAAGCTTTTAATAAGAGGAACATGAATACGCATAGTTTAGCCACTTATTAGTTATACAATAAAAATATATGTATCGTATTGGTCTATAAATAGTTCTCACGAGTTACCATTCATAATTCTCACCGGGATATAACAGTATTAAACACTAACTTATTGACACGTCAGTGTTTCACTCAATTTGAAATAATTTGGATTATCTCGTGGTTAAGAATTTGCTCTGAAATATGATCAGTCTCGGTTGACATATGTGCATCGTGTGTGGATTGTCTCGAAATAGTCATTATGATACAGGTTAATATAGAATGTGGTTAGCAATGGAATGGAAGACGTGGGTTTCTTCCTACTTGGGACTCGTCAGTTGAATGTACCTGCATCCCAAAACTGATGTTCATTCTAGGACAATAATCCACTACCATACGCTTCAAAATCCTTCGCGTTATTCGCCTAACTATTGAGTCCAGAAGGTCACTTACCTGTGCAACGGGTTTCATAGTGAACTCAATTTTAAATTGTTTGGATTTAGTCTTGGAGTGAGCATCAACCATGGGATACAGGTACATCCATGTGACGAAACGCGTGTCCCGGATTCAGACTCAGTAATCAAAATTTCGATATGCTAGTTATGGTATTTAATAGTTCATCATCCAGCTTGAAACTGACTGTGCACTTATTTCTGAGAAATCTAAAAGATTAAACGACTATGGAGTTAACAAACTAGGGATGAGGCAGTAACTAACCGCTGGAATTAAAAATTCGAACCTTCAGACCCCATCTCAGTAGTATCATCCTGGATTTCTGACCGCAACGTGTTGACTATGACTATATATGAACGCCCTTAAGAGGAATACTAAACAAGTGCTTTTGAGTTGTCAATACTTATTCAACTGATAAAAATTACCCTTAAATATTTTTCCACTTTGTTCATTTGATGCATTCAGTATACAATGATAATTTTATTGACTGAACCTAGTAAACAAATTATTATGGAATTTAACTCAAACACTATGTTCAAGGTTAACCCGTATGGAAGTGAAAAATGTGTGGCTTTTGAAGGTATTAAAATGGTCGTTTTATCTGTTTAACTTGAAATAAATATGATTAGCTAATATTTACCAGAAGTGCTGGTTGCTAAAGAATTTACTGTAACACAAAAAATCTCTGTTCTAGAGAAATCATCCTACATGTGTGATTATGCTAAAACTAAATGCAACAGCAGTTCAAATCCCACTGTCTAACCTCAGCTTGGACAGACTAGTATCACTACTCTATACACAAAAACCGCCTTGAATCTAAAGCGATTTACCTCAGACTTTCTACCTAATAGATTGCCAACCAACACAGTTGATTTTATTGAGTTGGTCTAAACATTTTTGAGGATGAATTAACAAACAAACGATAAATTCACTTGGTATTGTTTTGCTTGAATCTTCCCATTAAGGTCTAAGACTGCAATTTATCAGTCTGCTATTGGCATATGTGTATTGCCTTAATTCACAAATTTTATAAGAAAAGACGGATATTGGCTAGCAGTGGAATCCAGGACGCGCGTTCTGTCCTATTCGGGACTCGTCTGCTGGATGTACAAACGATAGTTTATCTCACATATGTAATGTACCATTGAGAGGAAAGTATAAAAATAATAGAAAATACCACCTACATTTTATACGATCGAATTGATTTTGAGTTAACCGGAGTCTATTCTTTTTCTGTCCGCTTTTCATCATAAATCGAACGATCTGCTTAATGATAAATTGGGCATCGAAAACAAAAACTTGTCACTCGATGGATTAATCTATTTAAATGGAGCTGTACAGTGCTTATCACGGAAGGTCCCTGTCACATTCTGAACTGGTTCTGATTATTAGAAACAACATTGTAAATGTTCGGCGATATTATTTCATTGAGATTACTAATTAGATCATTTGATGGTATATTTATTCACCTTAAAACTGATTAGCGTTGTATACACACACATAGGTTACTCATGCTTCCGCTAGAAAACGAGAGAGTAGTAATAGCGTAGAAAACGTGACTTGTGAATTAAAATGATCATAGGAAAACAGCTCACATTTCCTGAAACAATATATCTTTATGCCCAATAACACTGCCTAAATGCGATGAAGATCGTTTAGTTAACAGTGTATAAAGTGCACAAAAAATACGCGCTCATTCTATTCACCATTATTTTTTTTGTTTATTCTTACACTATCGTGTTTACAAGGCTAATAACTAATACAAAACTGTAAAAAAACTCACGTTTACACTAAAGTTAAATGACTACCTGTTTTCGAGTGACCTCCAAACCTACAGACTAAGTATTTGGTGTAAAGTAGTCTGACAAGTTATTCATGGAAATAATAGATCCTCGAAAACCCGATGTAATGACTTAAGTTCAAATACAATACAACTTGCTAATCAGCTACATAAAGAAGTGTTAGTAAACTACCTCGATTTTGAGATTTCGAAAGTAATTTTATGAAATTTATTTATTTTAACACATAGATATCGGTACAAGGAGGCACCAAATACATATGCGCCACACATTTCTCATTTGATTTGTGTGAGGGCTGTGATACTGCCCGGGTGCTCAAACCGAAGCAGGTGGTTTTCTTAGGGGGCCACACCCCGAGACTTTGACCCAAAGGTCTGACCTACAAGACAGTGGAGCATCGTAAGGAGATGCAGTCCCATGGTAGCCGGTGACCAACGATTGGTTCATACGCCATTTGTTCCTTCAGGATACTGGAGCCCATGTGCACCATTGGTTTGGAATCCGGTTACAGCACCGGACATTCGCTTTTCGTCCCCTCATTTTCGTAAACAATACCCCCGCAACGAGAAGGGAGTGAATAAGACTTCCCTGGCAGAGGCTATATACGCGTGGCCATGTGAGAGCATTTCGAGAGGGAGAGCGGACTCTCCCCACTCTCGGCCGTACCAGGGCATTTTATGAAAACATCTTGATAAGTATTATACTGCGTATTCTTCACCATAATCAACAATGTAAATTGGTCACATCAACCGACAATTCTATACTGTACAAAAAATATAATATTGGATGGAGCCACCAATAGTAATAAGAACCTCGAAGAACATTCTTGAAACCGTCGGTTTGATCTATACAACTACATGTGTGACAGAAAGTTCACAGAATGAACCGTCCAATATTGTGAGATTTCAGGAATGGAAGGAGACTAGAACCACAAATCATCATACGAATCAAAACATGAGAGAACGAGTGTACTAAGACCAAGGAACAACGGATTGATCGAAATGACCTCAAAGCAAAATGTTTATGTGATTAGATATGTTGCCAATTATTAACGTCTGTATTCGAACAGTAGAATAACGACACCTTCGAAAGTGATCCAACCTAAACCTAACTACTTGTCACTTAACTCTTTGTGTACAACAGGAGAAAACAAACATAATGCCTGGAATTATGTACTGTATGTGAAGTTAGCATCTTACATAACAAACAAAGTATGCTGATCAGTTATCGTATTTATTGTAAGGATAGAAATGTAGTAAACTAAAGAAGTTCAAAAACCTCTTTATGAAAAATATCCGGTACATGGGCACGTGAGCCTATATGAACATATAAACGCAAGATTTGTTCAAAAATCTTTACAATATGCATATTTATATAACGGGGTACTGCGATTTCACAGATAACCAAAGCTTTGCATAGAACTTTGTAACAAGAAATTAAAACAGACATTAGGAAGTGATTTGATGACAGATGTTGTTTCATCGAGTAAACTAAAAGCAAAAAACTGTATTTAACGTAAGAATGAAAGTTCAGAAATGTGGTTCCTTAATAATAATAGTTTTATGGAAAACCAAGAGACTGAAAAATGTTTACAAGCAGAGTAAAGACGCTAACAAATACATACAAAGCAAAAAATAAAATCAACAGTTTCAGCACTCAAATAATGGGAGGCAGATTGTGCTAATGAACTGAGACAGTAGTACTAGAACTACTATCATCGATAAGATTAATAAAGAACATTTGCCTATAATCGGCATTAGGAGTACCGGGTTGTTAACAGCAGATCTAGCTAAAATTCTTCCGGTTCTTCAGCTTCGGGAGCAGTGAAACCATCCTGTTAATAACAAATACAAAATATACGAGTGAAAACGCACTTATTACATTTTTAAAAATGTTCATTATGCTATACACACTTAAATATAGAAACAAAGTTAATATAAGAGCGTCATGCTGACATTTTACACAAAGAGTATACAGTACATCAACCCATAGTTAGTGAAACAATCCATGTCTGGATGGATGGTAAAATGTATCCAGATAAAGATAACTAAATGAAAAAAATAAATAATGGTAATTTTGTTTGTTACCTGAGCCAAAATCAGTATATAACGATAACGATGGACTAAAATAGACCATATTGCCATCAGTCATCGTTGGAGAGGGTCAATAGAAGATTGTCGCTCATTCTGGGGTACCTGCTTGGACTCCGATCATGCAATAATACGAGCACGCATCTGTTTGCGCCTCACTGGACGCAAAAGAGCCACACAAAAAAGACTCATTAGAACCGAATTGAGTAATGAGAAAGCCAAAAGTAGGTTCCAGGAACAACTGAGGTCACACTTAGATGGTTCTGAAAACGAGACTGACCCAGATGTTGCTTGGAAAGTTATACAAGCAGCTGTGGAAACAGCAGTGACATCTACCAGTGATTTAAACCACAGGGTTACAAAGAACCAATGGATTTCTTCAAGGTCTATTGCACTGATAGATTCTCGCAAACTCATTCCATCAGGTTCTGAATACGATGAAGAGCGTAGACAAAACAGATCTGGATTAAGCAAAAGTCTAAAGAATGATCGTGAGCAGTGGTGGGCAACGAAAGCAAAAGAGATGGAAAAGGCGGCGATTATAGGGAACACAAGACAACTCTACAGACTAATAAAAGAAACTGGAATTAATAAGTCAAGTGTAAGTCAGACCATTTCGGAAAAAAACGACACTCTCATCTGCTCCCAGTCCAGACGCTTAGAACGATGGGCGGAACACTTTAAAGATCAGTTTAGCTGGCCTTCAGCTACTCTACAACTACCCTCTATTCCCAGACAGTGTGAATGGAACATTGAAGTAGGTCCCCCATCTCTAACTGAAGTTCAAAAGGCTATAGTTAATCTGAAATGAGGAAGGGCAGCTGGTCCAGATGGATTGGCCCCAGAGGTCTTTAAAGATGGTGGTCTAGTTTTAGCGATTAGGCTGGGAGTTAGACGTTATCCCATCTAACTGGTCACAATCACTTATCGTCCCAATATTTAAGAAAGGGTCAAAATCATCCTGTGACAACCACAGAGGGATTAGTTTGACTAATATAGTATCTAAAATACTAGCCTCGATAATTTTCGGACGCCTAACTAAGACTCGTGAACTGCAAACACGTGAAAATCAGGCTGGCTTCAGACCTGGTCGTCCGACAATGGTGGTCTTCCTTGACTTAAAAGCAGCGTTTGACTCTGTTGACCGAGAGGTTCTGTGGCAGTATCTGTCAGTCAGTCAGCTGCAACGTCTGTCATTGAAAGGCGTACCTCAGAAGTACATAAACCTTGTGAAGGCTCTTTACTCGAACACTACTAGTCGGGTCAGAGCCTATGGCGAACTGTCATCTGCTTTTGCAACCTCAAGTGGCGTCCGTCAAGGCTGTCCACTTTCTCCTTTTTTGTTTAACTTTATCATAGACATCCTGATGGAAATAACGCTCTCATCGACTGAATTCTCGGGTATTGATCTCCTACCAGGAGGTCCACTTATTGACTTAGAATACGCAGATGACATAGTCCTGTTTGGTGAAGACGCTGATGAAATGCAGTCTTTTGGTAGCACTGAGCAACAATGCTACAATGTTTGGGATGCGCTTTTCTCCCTCTAAATGCAAGTTGTTGCTTCAGGACTGGTCTGCATCAACACCTGAACTAAGGATAGGGAGTGAAGTAGTCGAACGCGTTGACAACTTCATTTATCTTGGAAGTCTGATCAGCCCTAATGGGTTGGTGTCTGACGAAATCTCAGCACGGATCCGAAAAGCTCGTTTGGCCTTTGCCAACTTACGTCATCTATGGCGCAGGCGAGATATCCGTCTATCAATTAAGGGACGAGTATACTGCGCGGCAGCTCGTTCCGTTCTACGATACGGCTGCGGAACATGGCCGTTAAGAGAAGATACTTGTTAGCTACAAGTATTTGACCACAGGTGCCTTAGAAATATCGCTCGCAGCTGCTGGGATCAACGGGTAAGTAATAGTGAGGTTAGACGCAGGGTACTAGGGAATGATGGTAAATCAGTTGATGAGGTTATGAATCTTCATCGACTGAGATGGTTAGGCCATGTGCTGCGTATGCCTGGACACCGATTACCACGACGCGCAATGCTGACTAGTGTAGGGGGTAATTGGAAGAAAGTTAGGGGCGGCCAAACCAAAACGTGGCATCAGTGCTTGAAGATACTAACTTCTGGTCTGAGCCATGTTGGTAGATGTAGACTGCCTGGTTGGGGTCCGCGTGACTATCGTAACCAATGGTTGGAGACTCTTGGTGACATGGCTCAGAATCGATCACAATGGCGTAGGTGTATATACTCTCTGTCTTCCTTAAATTAAGAGATTAAAATCACTTCAAATCTTTCTTTCTAGGAACTGATTCTTTCTTCCTGTACTATCTCCTTATACACAATCTTTCTTCTAAATATTACCACCACTGAATTAACTACTTTTATGAATCCGGTGTTGATCTTGTTGTGCTAATGCGGTATGGCAACATGGACCGATGCATATACGTGCCTGGTCCTAGGTTGCAGCTGACTGACTGACTGATATAACGATAACATTAATTTTTTTAACTTTCTCGAGTGACATAGTAAGAAAATACAAAAATATATAGTGGGGTTTGTGATATTTCGTGCAGTAACTAAAGCCAATTTTAAAGTAAAACTAGAAAAAAGTGATCCCCGACATTATACTTCATTAGATGAAGGAAATATTTATTTAAAATCAAATGGTTCGGTAATTGACTTACTTCGGTTGCGTAAAGGATTTCAAAGATACTCTTAGTCAAGTCTACTTTTCTATTTTCTTGACAAATTATTTCAATGCTGCGTAGCTTGTTGAAGTAGAAATCCCTTTCACGAAGTAGACCTTCAATAGTAGTCTTGTTTTGTTCAGCCTGTAAAAACAAGAAACGATGGAAGTCTTATTCGTCGATATAAATTCGACTGTACAGTAATAGTAATTTTGTGTGCATGATTATTTTCTGCACTTACAAATAACTAGTTCCGCTTATTAACTGAAAACGCCAAAGACGAGCATGTTCATAAATTGTCGACAAAACGCGTCGTGTAATAATTAACAGGAACGAAATAAACCAGGAATTAAAACAGTGATGATAAGATTGTTGTAGCAGAGTATAGCATAGATCTTTAAATCTATGCTCAAATTTCAGCATCTTTTTATAAGCTTTCGGTCAGTATGACTAATGAGGTTTTAACTAATGTAGTGATTATGAGACAAAGTGATATTTTTATGGGCACATTGATCTTAAAATCTTCATCAGCCTAAACGTATTAATATACATATCATAAATCACAAAACGCTGAAATAATGTGGAGTAAACCGCTTGGTTAGCAAAAGTAATTAGCCATCAAATATTTTCCCAAAGTAGTAAGTTAAATTACTATTAAAATTCAGATTCACTTTCTGATGAAGCTCTTTCTTCTTGTGATAAGATTATAGACATAATGTAACCAGCAACAAACTTTACAAAATTAACAGATTTTCAAGTATTTTGCCCCCGAATGCCCTGGTACGGTCGAATGTGGAGAGTCATCTCTTCCTCTTGAAATGCTCTCACATGACCACGAGTATACAGCCACCGCCAGGGAAGTCCTACTCACTGATTTCTCGTGACTGGAGTGTCTTTTACGAAATTGAGAGGATGAAAAGCAAATGTCCGGCGCTTTAACCGGGTTGGTGGATAAGGGTCCACATAGGAGAAACGGAAAACCCTGACTCAAAATCAACGGTGTACATGGGCTTTAGTATCCTAAGGGACGAAACGGCGTATGAATCAACTGTTGATCACCGGCTACCATGAGATTGCATCTCCTAACGTTGCTTCACTGCCTTGTGGATTAGACATTCAGGTCAAAGGCTCGGGGAGTGGCCCTATAAGAAAACCACCTGCTTCGGTTTGAGCGTCCAGGAAGTATCCCGGCCCTTGCACAAATAGAACGGTGAAATGTGGAGCATATATATTTGGTGCCTCTTTGTGTCAATGTTTATATGTTTAAATAAATAGACTGCAAGTGTCTTAGTACATATTATTCATTTGAAAATAAAACGTAACGTATTGTCTAGAAAAATTTTGATCCGAACCTTAAGTATTAATTATTGTCATTTATTTTCCGATTATATTTAATACTCTAAACGGAGTGTTAATCTTCGCAACCGGTTGACGAAAGAAGTACGGAAAGATATAATTTTCGTATTTTACTCACAACTGAGAGACTATGGTAAGAAAAAGGTTGTTAATGAATTCGGAAGAAACTACATTGCCCTTCTGAAAACCGATCCTAAAAATGTACCTTGTTGAACAGTATTCAAATGAAAATTTCGCAATAATCAACTCTAAATCATGGCAAAAGCGTAGACTATCACTAGTGAGAAATATATGGAAATGAATATTAAAGCTTTATATGACGATTAAAAATCATGTCATAAATGTTCTTACCGAACCTGATTAACTTAATGTATATGACACTGAATGGATATCGTAATCTAAAAAATCCAATAATTCAATAAGTGTACATCACAAACCACGGTTGTGTGCATAAATGATTGACAAAACGTTACTAAACAACCTAACATGGGTAACGGTTAATATAACACTGAACCACTTTGTAATTCAAGAAAAGTTTTTAATTTTATTGGTCGTCGTAAATCAATGTTTTTGATAGTGAGAATACAGTTGTTTGGTCTAAGTAGCCGAAGTTAAATCACGGGGTTGTTTGTTCCCAATAAAACTAAGTATATAAGCCCGAGTCGAGACCACAACCTATGACTTCCGATTATGAGTAAAATATAAAGGCACGGTATATGCCTATACTATATTTAAATTTATTGAAGACCTTAAGACATATGTCTGCGTTCAACTAAAATCTCAACAAAATCTTCACACGCTTAAGAGTAACATACGAAACCCAAGTAAAATCATCAGTCTAAGAAACACCAATGACACATAAGACAGAAAAGGGATTGGTAGAAAATGAGCAACCCGAAAATGTGCTACGCTACATAACAGTATATAAAAATAAAATTAACAAGAAACAAAATAAGCGATCATACAACTTCAAAACAAATTATACGATCGAATAGTAATTGTTTCATAACTTGATTTAACTACCTTAAAGCTCTTCCAAAACGACTATTACCCCAGGTAATACTTTGAATAAAGACCACTGTTGAGAATTCAGTGGATGTAGGCTATTATTATTATTATTTGAACATAAACATTAATGCAAAGTGAATGTAGGCTAACTTGATCAAATGATTCATACCTATAATTTGAATTTTAATGTGTGACAAGAAGTGATCAACAATCGAATATTTTGAGTTTTTCCACATTTTCTTATATTCCCATGTCGGTAAACGTTTGTGTAGTATCATCTAAACACTTCCTTGGCGTCGTGATACAAGTGGCGTAGGCAAGATATCTATCTGCTGATCACTACCGTATTTAAATATGTAACTGTAGAAAATGCTCTTTGAAACTACAGAACAAATGTAATTCTGTAGTATTTGGTCACAGATTCTTTTGAAACATTATTAGTGTATGATGGAAAAACAGAATGAGTAACGCATATGTGAAACATAGGGTACCAGGTATAGATGGCTGATGAGAACTGATGCATATTTGCGTCAGGTCTTATGTTGATTATGATTGAATGGCTGATACAGAAAATAATTCCCACCTGTCACTTATATCTACACCAGGGATAAGTCTGCCGCCAGGTTATTCACTGATACGACTTGAGTAAGGAGTCTATTAGCTTAATTCTTGCGGCTTTTATTACTAAACAAGGTATTATTACAGACAAGCTCTGGACAATGCATAAACATTTGAGTTGTAAAATTATTCACGATAAAGTCATTTTATGATAAGATCACATCAATAAGCCTAGAGGATACAACGTTATCAAAATCCTCTTTTTAAAATGCAAATTTTTACCACCATCTCAAAAGTTATGAACTAGACTACACTCCTTTGGAAATGAGTTTTCCAAAGTACACCAGCTCCCAAAAATCGCATATTTAACAAAGTTTTGGATAAAAATAAAACAATGAAAAACATTCTTCAAATAACTGTTTCATTAGATGCATTAACATTTTAAAAAATGTTACATTGAGAAAATTACATTCGTTTGATAGATGGGTAAAACGTTATCTTTATGATAGTAAGTTCAGTGAACTACACAATTCAACCAAAAATACAAAAACCGACCTCTAATGTAAGCTGATCGAATTGCTGTTTCAAGATGGCCACTTCTGCATTATCGCCAGCGGAATAATGATTATTATTAGTAGGAGTTCCTGAAACACCGGACTGACTGGTGCGCAAAGTTGTAACTACTGGATGTTTTAGAAGGAAAATATGTAAGAAAATCGACAGATATTTGTTTAAAAGGTTATTATAAAGATTATATATTAGAATTACTCAAAATACAACAAACGGTGAGTGCTTGTCATGGTGCAGTTTAAAGACTTAATTCATAGAAAGTGATACGAATATAAATGAAACTCTGAGACATCTACAGTGTGGAATTAAGTAGACGGTGTCCAAAATTAAAAATGAATTAGTGTTTAACTTTGCTCAAATATACATGTATTTAAGTTGTTACACTTCGGAACAACAAGAAAAGATTACATCAATTAGAATGGAGATACATCAAGAAAGGCAAAATCAGTCAGTCATACTCAACGTAGACAAATATAGAAGTGGAGAAACACAAAAGTTGTATAACAACTGGGGGGGATAAACAGCAAACAAACTTGAAATAGTATTCTATTTGAACCATGTTGTTTCAGGATCTGCAAACATGAGAATTGGATTGCTATCATGCTTAACATGCCACATAATGATTCCAAACAATTGTGAAAAACATGGGGAGATCAGATAAAATAGTACTAATGAGTAGAAAACTGAAAGGATGAATAAAATTGGGGAACGGTAAATATGGAGTAACACTAAACCTATGGTTTCGAGAAAGATGAAGAATGAATGTGTCTGGATTATTGTGATTGACTTTCAGCCATATCGGCCAAGTTGTCAGTCATGGATTGGCTATCTCAAAGATTTGAATCACGAAGCTTGTAGCTCTGAACACGGATCAGACTAATAGACAATAATTTCATTGATTGGTACTTAACTTTTTCTGACGTTCTTGAGAAAAACGGCAAATTATTTGGTGGTTTTGAATCCTCAACAACTGGAGAAGCTGGAACATCCATCATGTATCCTCGACCGCCACCTACATCGACACGTAATGTTAGCTAGCATAGGAATAGGTTGGGAGAAAGCAAGAAACGACTTCACCATAACGTGGCGTCAACCTATGAAGTAATTGACTGTTGGATTGAGGTATATTGGAAGGTGCAGATTACTCGGTTAGTGTACCCGCGATTGTCATAACGAACGGTTGGCGATGTTGGATGGCATAGCCCAAAACCTGTTACAAAACGCAAATGCATTCACTCTTTGTATACTCATAGATCCCAAGTTTCAAAATTACTTCCACAAATTCATTTACGCTCTTAGAATCATATTTTTTCTCGAATGATTAGTATAACATGCGGGAACTGGTGCAGGCCACTGGGAACAGTGAGTTGCAGGATGCAAAGCAAGTAAATGAATGAATGTTTATTATACGAGAAAAAATAAACCGCAATGATACCAGATTGCGCCAATTGCTATGATTTATTTACACTGACCAGCAATCAGATTTATATAGATTAAACTGAGTAGTCTTGGACACTAATCAACAATTTTATGAAAACATTTATGTCATAAGATTAATCGTCTATAATCAACAGATAAAACTAATTTACTGAGTTATATAATTACGGTCAAAATGTGACATGGTATAGACAATAAGAAAATATGAGTTTTGTAGGTCGTACTCAATCCAAGTCCTCAGTCATTACGTTACTATCACTAACACTATTACTTCTACTACCTTGGTTTTCATCTTGCTTTGCTAACATGGTGTGATAACTTGGGTCAACACACACTTGTGTCAGGTTCTATATTGTTAATGACTGACTGAGCCTATGTTTATGATAGCCATTAATGCACGTCGGTGAATAAATACGCGTAACAAGAATTCCGGGCACCTCAACCAACGAAACATGTTTGCGTTTCACACCTTATCTAGTGGCTTTAGCAACCCAGGTTTAAACATTTATCATTCGGAGTTGGGTAATTAAGTAGGATCTAAAAATTATAAGTATACTAAACACGACATTTTACAGTTACTGGAACATCGTAACGGTGCTAAAAATTGATCAAAACAATCTATTTTACCTTCACTTATGTTATAAAACCGCTGATCTCAACTAGTATTCACATTTGTAAAGTTACACAATTGCTTACATACAGTTTTTGATTGTTTACAGTAGTTGGTTTACATCTAAGAATGAATGTACATTCAAATTCCCACAAACGTCTTTTGAACTGTGAAGTGTAAGTATTATACGTCTCGCAAACCAACTAAGTAGAATTTATCTAGGTTTTGAGGTATGGTATAGCAAAACAATTCTAATTTAATTAGCTATAAAGTATTTTTCCAGATAACAATACGCCTCTTACACACTACTGTTTTCCTATACTTAATTTTTTTCTAATACTACTGATGCTCTCCTTGATGTGTTGTGGTAACTTGAACCAAATTACATATAATGGGCATGATGATAATAATGACACTACCCGGATCCATCACTAAAATCGCATCAACAATAGTGTTAAGGAAGAATAGTAAAAACTGAAAACCCTGATTCCATTAATTTTAAATGACTACGATGTAACTATACTTCATGTAAGGTGTTCTGATAAAGTGGTCAAAGTTATTAGGATTTCGGAACCACCTTTGTTCATATAACTTTGCAGTAGCTTGGACTGTTGTAGTGTTAATAACGTTAAAAGCTGCTATGTTGCAAAACGTATGACGACATATGACCGATCTGAAAATGGTCTGAATGAAATCTGATCTGCTTCTAGATATCTCTGTATCCTCCATGATCTGCGCTGGGACTAGTGTAACTGTTACTTCTACATAAGTTGGCAGGGACATAGCCGGAAATCAGTTATGAATAACTTTATTTCAGAGCGACGGGGGTACCAAATATATATGCGCCACACGTTTTCAGAGAATATCATCATCATTTCCATCATATTTGTGTGTGGGCTTTGATACTGCCCGGGTGCCCAGACCGAAGATTCTCTGACCATCAGTTGCTATCGTCTCGCGAATCCCAACCAGGCAGCCTACACCTACCAACATGGCTCAGTCCACTTGTTAGTGACTTCGTGCCATATTTTGATCTGGTCGCTCTTAGCTTTCTTCCAACCTACTCCTACACCATAAAACCTCGCACGTCGTGGCAGTCGGTGGTTGGGCATACGTAACACATGTCCCAGCCATGTCAACTGGGAAAGTTTCACTAATTCAACTGATTTGCCATCCTTACCTAGTACCCGTTTCCTAACAACTGTATTACTTACTCGGTGGTACCAGGATATACGAGCAATGCTTCGGAGACACCTACAATCGAATACTAGTAGTCTACGAATATCCTCTACCCTTACCGGCCATGTTTCACTAACATAAAGTAGGACGGAACGGACTGCTGCACAGTAAACTCGTCCTCTGGTTGGTAGAACAGTATACACACTAAGAACATGTTATGGTTTGATATGACCACGTCTAACTTTTGTCACATCTGATTCTATGGACGCATGGACAACGAAATTTAGCGACTATTGGCCGAGTATATGTAAGAAAGTGAGGAAAAATCATCAACTTTATTAACTCCTCTACCATTACTACATATCGATTTACAGCTAACCAATCTTTATTCGACCATATTTGAGCAATATTTGGGGAACATAAATGATAAAATGTTTAAAACACACATTAATTTTTATTTGCAGACTAATTAGTTGTCTAACAACTGTAAATAGTCTACATTCCAGGTGTATATTAAAAGATTTAATGTGTTATTAGAGGGGGAACTTAAACAGGTTTCGTATCCTACTCAAAAATCTTATAGTCTTTCGTGATAAGATTTTAAAATAACCTTTTGAGATTAAGTGAAATGTGACCAACAACAAAAAAAACACTTCTCAAAGCAAACAAAAGTTACGGTAAAGTGAGACAAGCGATATAATACATCCAGTTACATTTCAAAAACAGGTAGGTCACCTGACCTAATCAAGGATATATATCAAGGTGCTTTCAAAAAGCATATTTTCCGTTCGATTTTCACAGATCTTAAATGCAACGTTATGCGACTTATAACTAATACCATTCAAATTTATGAATAACGACTTAAATCCACTGTATTTTTCCAAACCCTGTCGTGTTTCTCATCAAGATCACTTGCACAACATACGAGCGTCGAGATCTTCGGGAATGTATGCATCTGTGGGAAACAATATTATTTACTCGCTTGGTCGGATTGTGGAAAACTACGTGTTATTATGGGCTCAGACATAAACACGTCACTCAGTCAGCTGCAACCTAGGACCAGGCACGTATATGCATCGGTCCATGTTGCCATACCGCATTAGCACAACAAGATCAACACCGGATTCATAAAAGTAGTTAATTCAGTGGTGGTAATATTTAGAAGAAAGATTGTGTATAAGGAGATAGTACAGGAAGAAAGAATCAGTTCCTAGAAAGAAAGATTTGAAGTGATTTTAATCTCTTAATTTAAGGAAGACAGAGAGTATATACACCTACGCCATTGTGATCGATTCTGAGCCATGTCACCAAGAGTCTCCAACCATTGGTTACGATAGTCACGCGGACCCCAACCAGGCAGTCTACATCTACCAACATGGCTCAGACCAGAAGTTAGTATCTTCAAGCACTGATGCCACGTTTTGGTTTGGCCGCCCCTAACTTTCTTCCAATTACCCCCTACACTAGTCAGCATTGCGCGTCGTGGTAATCGGTGTCCAGGCATACGCAGCACATGGCCTAACCATCTCAGTCGATGAAGATTCATAACCTCATCAACTGATTTACCATCATTCCCTAGTACCCTGCGTCTAACCTCACTATTACTTACCCGTTGATCCCAGCAGCTGCGAGCGATATTTCTAAGGCACCTGTGGTCAAATACTTGTAGCTAACAAGTATCTTCTCTTAACGGCCATGTTCCGCAGCCGTATCGTAGAACGGAACGAGCTGCCGCGCAGTATACTCGTCCCTTAATTGATAGACGGATATCTCGCCTGCGCCATAGATGACGTAAGTTGGCAAAGGCCAAACGAGCTTTTCGGATCCGTGCTGAGATTTCGTCAGACACCAACCCATTAGGGCTGATCAGACTTCCAAGATAAATGAAGTTGTCAACGCGTTCGACTACTTCACTCCCTATCCTTAGTTCAGGTGTTGATGCAGACCAGTCCTGAAGCAACAACTTGCATTTAGAGGGAGAAAAGCGCATCCCAAACATTGTAGCATTGTTGCTCAGTGCTACCAAAAGACTGCATTTCATCAGCGTCTTCACCAAACAGGACTATGTCATCTGCGTATTCTAAGTCAATAAGTGGACCTCCTGGTAGGAGATCAATACCCGAGAATTCAGTCGATGAGAGCGTTATTTCCATCAGGATGTCTATGATAAAGTTAAACAAAAAAGGAGAAAGTGGACAGCCTTGACGGACGCCACTTGAGGTTGCAAAAGCAGATGACAGTTCGCCATAGGCTCTGACCCGACTAGTAGTGTTCGAGTAAAGAGCCTTCACAAGGTTTATGTACTTCTGAGGTACGCCTTTCAATGACAGACGTTGCAGCTGACTGACTGACAGATACTGCCACAGAACCTCTCGGTCAACAGAGTCAAACGCTGCTTTTAAGTCAAGGAAGACCACCATTGTCGGACGACCAGGTCTGAAGCCAGCCTGATTTTCACGTGTTTGCAGTTCACGAGTCTTAGTTAGGCGTCCGAAAATTATCGAGGCTAGTATTTTAGATACTATATTAGTCAAACTAATCCCTCTGTGGTTGTCACAGGATGATTTTGACCCTTTCTTAAATATTGGGACGATAAGTGATTGTGACCAGTTAGATGGGATAACGTCTAACTCCCAGCCTAATCGCTAAAACTAGACCACCATCTTTAAAGACCTCTGGGGCCAATCCATCTGGACCAGCTGCCCTTCCTCATTTCAGATTAACTATAGCCTTTTGAACTTCAGTTAGAGATGGGGGACCTACTTCAATGTTCCATTCACACTGTCTGGGAATAGAGGGTAGTTGTAGAGTAGCTGAAGGCCAGCTAAACTGATCTTTAAAGTGTTCCGCCCATCGTTCTAAGCGTCTGGACTGGGAGCAGATGAGAGTGTCGTTTTTTTCCGAAATGGTCTGACTTACACTTGACTTATTAATTCCAGTTTCTTTTATTAGTCTGTAGAGTTGTCTTGTGTTCCCTATAATCGCCGCCTTTTCCATCTCTTTTGCTTTCGTTGCCCACCACTGCTCACGATCATTCTTTAGACTTTTGCTTAATCCAGATCTGTTTTGTCTACGCTCTTCATCGTATTCAGAACCTGATGGAATGAGTTTGCGAGAATCTATCAGTGCAATAGACCTTGAAGAAATCCATTGGTTCTTTGTAACCCTGTGGTTTAAATCACTGGTAGATGTCACTGCTGTTTCCACAGCTGCTTGTATAACTTTCCAAGCAACATCTGGGTCAGTCTCGTTTTCAGAACCATCTAAGTGTGACCTCAGTTGTTCCTGGAACCTACTTTTGGCTTTCTCATTACTCAATTCGGTTCTAATGAGTCTTTTTTGTGTGGCTCTTTTGCGTCCAGTGAGGCGCACGCATGGTAAGTGACACAGACTACCAACTTACCCTGTTTCTGACCTACAGGTTTAGCACTCGATGAAATGCTATTGCGCGGCTGATCGAGTTGGGACTTGCTTGGAGTTTTCCCGCTGCCAATAATTTTCTCACCTCCCCTAGCTGTTAAAGCATCATAAAGATGACCGTCATAGTTTACGTCGAAAAATCGCTTAAACCATTGGAGAAACTCAAAATTATCTTGGAATTTTCCTTTCACTAACTTTTCGATTGGAACCTCCTAAGACAAAATAATTAGAAGGGTTATACTCTACTTTATCTACGCCATGTTTCTTAAAAAGAGCTTGCAATACTTTGAAGTTATTAATGTACTCATGCTCCAGCTTTGTGTTAAATTTGACTTTCTTAAACAATAATGTTCCTGAAGAAGTAATTTAGATTTCTGTAGTACATACCTGGAAAGAGCATATCCACCAGCTGACAATAAGCTGCTCCACTACATAGCTCTTCCACTTTACCGTAGCTGCTGTTCAGACAGTGATTAACCCATTGGATTATTTCATTTCTGCTTAAATTATCAGTCATTTGACTGGTGCTGTGAACATTGACTGCTTGCGGGATGCCCGCCATGACCTGCGGAAACCTCACGACCTCAAGAATCCGATTTAGAAAGACCGCTTGGACTACCCAGTAATACCCTAAATAGTAACACAAACAAGAATACGCTAGTAATCATAGTGCTCACCATAATAACTTTCAAATAAGGATTGTAAGCAAAAGGCTAGATTAAGGCTGTTCAGGCTCAAATTTTGAGCATTACTTCACAAACAGTCGTTCGACAGGACTAAGATTTGAATGCTTTTTTAAGGTTAGTGAAATGTCCATACGTCCTGGTCAAAGCATACAACAAATTGAACCATTTCTTCGCTCAGTGATTAACTACCGGGTGCTGAATGGTTTTCTGAATACCTCCAAGGTCAGGAGTAATAAACACAGACTGATTGATTACACTCCGAGAATCGTTACATAAGTTAATGTGACCATACTCTATACTGTTCTAATCTGTTTGCATTGATTAAACCACTTACTATGGTAAGACTCTATTTGTTCTCTACAGTCGTCAAAGAAGCCACATCACCTGCTTATCATGACGACGTATGTTAGGTCACATCGCCCATGTCCAACCTCAGTAGTTTCACTACCCACACTGATGACCTGAAGGTCTTATATCAGTCTTCAGAAGTAAAGATCAGAAGTTGAGTGGCCTTCTTGATTCTCACAGATTTATCATCAGGAGGTACTGAAACTCCGTATTATGTAATGGAGCCCAGCGGTTTAATACTTTATGACAGAATAAAAACTCTAAGTGTGAATGACTTGGCTTCGATTTTCGGAATTTTTAAGTGTCCTTCTATATTATCAGTCCTTGGTTGAAGAAAAGACATGTGGCGGTAAATAAATCCCCAAAACTCAACAGTTCTTCGACATTTTATGCTCTTCTCATTAGTCCCAATGAACACATCTAACTGAAGGCGCTCGGTCATCCATCCGCATCAGATCACGAGTGGATATGACGTGCTACGCATCCCTTACAACTGCTAACCAACTTAGGTTAAACTCTCACCGATATATCGGTAACCTTTCAAATATATCTACTAACTTCTTCATTTCTGACCTCTAATTTGACTGGATTGGTACACTCCGGTCATACAGGTGTAACATGTAAATGTGTTGTTAAACGCCGAACATCGTGGCATCTTTAGACATATTAATGAAAAATCAGTACTTGACAGGACAGCGTGCAATCACCTGGTAATGTAAAATAGCTGCAGTATGTCGATGTGCCTTGATCTTTGCTAATAATATGGGTTGTGGAAGTCTTTTATCATCATAGTCGCTCCCCGTAGAATTCTTTTAATCGAATTCACCTGATATCCTAAACGAATTCTTGTGTTTTGAACATCGTATTCTAAATAAAGCCTCAGATACGTTGTGCAGAACATTCAGAACATGTGTTTATGTAGACTACAAAACAATCTATGAATACCCCGTGAAGCCCAGAAGCCTTTGAGAACGGCTTCCTTACTGTTAAATCTCATTTTAAAGCCACTGTAAACTATGACTCCTAAATCCCCTTAATCCTACCATCTCATGTGCAAGTGTGAGAAAATCTTTCATGTATGCATCGGTGTGATAACAATCCTTTGTTACATCCCACGTGTATCGTTGTTCTCCTTAATATTTCTGCTAATGTGTTCTATGTCAACATTTTGTTCACAACAAGCTATGACTACTCTTTCTCATTATCAGACCTCGTTTTCACTATCTGTCCTACTGTTTTTACTACAGCGACTGTTTTCTTTGGTTCAGTTCCTTATCTTGGCGATTCTTGCGATGATTTCCCTTTGCTAGGCTAACAACATTTAATAGTGCCTGATCACTACCATAGCATCATGTTTCTATAGATAGATCGACCCGAAATGGTCAGTATAATAATTTTCATTAGTGGTTCTCAATGAGTAAAAAGCGGGATTAAATCTCATAATTATTGGAGACTAGAGAATATGCTCTCAAGATACTCAAAAAGAATGACCATCCACGAAAGTTAGTCAATAAAAACTTAACATTAAGACGTCATGGAGAAACACCAAAAATACAACAGAAAACTCGCTTTATTGATATCTCATCTAAAGGGGATACGGCCGCAAAAACCTTGAATAAACCGATCTCCCAATCCCTGAATAAGGCTTATTCAGTTAGGCTTCGCGTTATTTTCCCAAGTAGTCCTGTCATTCACGAATATGCTAAGGATAAACTTCTTCTTTAGACTGCATCGATGCGCACCTGTTGTGGCATTGGGCCCTACCACGAGATAATATGAGAAATAGACATTAAATATTTAACGCGGAGAAATACAGAAGAATGGAGAAGGCGGGGAGAGGGAGTTGAATTAGTCCGAGTTGATCGGATGGCATGGCTCGGCCTTGCAGGCGTGGTCCCTGCTGAATGTTATCTTATATCTTTTATTTATATTAAATATATTGTTCTGTCTCTAGCCTAAGCTTGTTCTCCATTGTGTATTGGTAATTGTTACGATGCGATGAGGTGGTGTAGATAATAATGTGACATCCATGTAAGATCTTATAGAATAGGCAGTTGCATCATGACAAATCTACAATTCAAGGATTATGTCTATTATTAGAGCAGTGCTAATAGCATAGTAGACCATATTTCTACACATCTATAAATTTATTTACTCTTGTGAGGCGGGTTACATTGGCCTCATAAAGCTATCACTTTCTGAAAACATCTTGTAAAACGATGCATCGAGGCTTTTAAAAATAATGCGAAACAATCACCATGTACACCATCAACATAGATTACCTGTGTCAAATAATTGGGGGCCTATTCAAGTTAGATGGAAATGGTGTGACCAACCAGCTAACGTTGAAGTCCCACATTGCGGTTAGTGCCTTACATGGATTACTCTTTCGTCGTGTCCGTGTACTATGTTTGATTTCATGACTGTACAAAATACAACGTTACTACCCAAACATATGTTCGTATCAGTAGGTACAAGGAATGGATTGCGACCACCGCTGCATGAACCAATCCATCCCGTTCAATTAACCGACGCACATCGGTTGTCCTTGACCTTAACGAGAATCGGCGAAATTTTCGACATTAAGTGACCTGCCTGCCTGAAGATTTGGATAGGACCCAGTGACATATCACTGGCGTTACAACCACTTCAAAATAACATCACCTAATCAACTCTGAACATGTTGCTCAAAAAGAGTCTTACTTCAAAATAATTTACACAATCAAAGGGACTGAATCAAACTGAGGTCAAACCAAAAACGTATGCACTGCTGAGGCTTTGGCTATCGATCAATTCATGCCTGACCCCTGAGTCAAAAACGGTGTGTCAAACCCCTCATTCTTTTTAAATTGCTTACGTCTGTTATCCTGTAGAATCATGGTCAACCTCGCTATAAACACCACTCTAATAATAGACCTAATTCCAAAACTTTAGATCTGTTATTATGTAACTACGTAATCTAACAGGGAAGTCACATCTTCGTCTACACTGACTCATCGTATCGTAACAATCACCAATATATGATGAAGAACGCATTTAGGTTGGAGATAGAACAATAAATTTAATACGGATGAAAGTTACGCAAAAGTGACCACGCCCGCAAGGTTAAGCCATGCTATCTGATTAAATTATTTGAATTCATTCTCCCCGCCTTCTCCAACGTCGGGATTTTATCCGTGTTAAATGTTGAATATCTGTTTCCCCCAGTTGTCCCGAGTTCAGCTCTAAAGCCTTTATTCCGCTGTCCTCCATGAACAACGCTGGACTGTAGTCCGTCGTATGAGTTCCGGATAATGTTGACAGTCTTCACAGGAACTCCATATTGTCGAAGAAGTTTCCATAACGTTCTCCTATCCACGTTCACTTTCATAATCAAGGAAGCTGGTGTACAGTGATGAATTTCATTCAAATGACTGCCAACGATGATGTGCAGGGTGTCGATTTGGTCTGTGTATGACCGATCCTTACGGAATCCGGTTTGTTGATCTTGAAGTTGGGAGTCCAATGAGTTCGGTTCGCAGCGCTATTAAAAATCTTTTTCGGTATTGATTGTGCTGTGATACCTCTTTAGTTCTCACATTTGCTCAGATCTCCTTTGATTGATATATTGATTGTATATCCTCCTTTCCAGTTTGTCGGCACTTGTCCTTCCTCTCAAACTTTCCCGTATAAAACGTGCAGCATAATTGTATTCGCTTCTGTGTCTGACTTCAGTGCTTCGGCTATTATATTGTCGAGTCCTATTGCTTTCTCACTCTTGATTTGTCTGATGGCCATCCTGATTTCTTCGATATCCGGTGGGTTCATTGAGGCTGGTTTATTCAAGAGTTCCTCAAAGTGTTCTACTCATATGTTCGGTGATTGACTTACCTTCCTTGTCTCTGACCGGTCCCTCTGATTTGCTACATTTTACTGCCAGTTTCTTCCTTGTGTCATTTAGTTGTTTGATATTTCCTTCCGTTGCAGCTTTTTCCGCTGTGATTGTTAGGTTTTCCACATATTTCTGCTTGTAAGCTCTAATGTTCCTCTTTACTTGCCTGTTTGCATCAGTGTATTCAGCTTGTGTCTTGACTTTCTCTGCCCTTGTTCAGCTGTTGTTAATTGCTGTCTACTTGTTTTTCCTATTTTGAATTCTGTCCAGGATTTCAATAGAGATCCATTCCTTGTGATGATGATGATGATTGTTGCACCCCAGAACTTCCTGACATGTTGATAATAATGCTTCTTTGATTCCTTCCCAATTATCCTGTATAATAAGTTCTTCTTCTTGAAGTAGATCTTGAAAGGCTTGGAACCTGTTATTGAGAGTTATCTTGAATTGGTTGAGTTTGTAAGTATATCGAAGAAAGATCGCATTGAACCTTTATGATACTGTTTCTCCAGTTTTTCAGTACTTCTTTAGCTTCAGTTTCATCTTGGCAACCACCGGCTGATAGTGCTCTGAAGCTATGTCAGCTCCTCTCCTGGTTCTTACATCTTACATTGACCTCCTGAAATTTTTTGTGAAACAAATATGATCGATCTGGTTCTCTGTGGTGTAATCCGGTGATACCCATGTAGCTTTATGTACGTGTTTGTGTGGTAATATTACGCCACTTATAACTGCGCTTGCAGCTTTCCCAGGATTAGTGCCGGTACCAAGCTCGGGTAAAAGAGGAGGGTTGTGCTTGGGGCCAGAGAAGAAAACCTTACTAAAAACATGCTAAGATTCTTTCTTGACCCTAATTCTTTGATGCAGTATGTCTTCGTATCGTTTTGTTTTTTATCATTATATTGTAATCTTCAGGCATAATAAGTTATTGTTATCCTTTAACAATATTTTATCGCCATTGTTCAATTGTTACCATGACTAATTACTATGCAACCCCTTA